CTCATCCGTGAGGAGCGGGGACAAGGCCGGTCTTCAAATGTGATGATGGCACCGTACCAGGGGGTCGATGGCCATATGATGATGTCGACACTGGGGCCGATCCGAAAGAATCAATCAACGGTCTTCATGCGCGAGGAGCGGGGACAAGGCCGGTCTTCAAATGTGATGATGGCATCGTACCAGGGGGTCGGTGGCCATATGATGATGTCGGCAGTGGGGGCCGATCCGAAAGAATCAATCAACGGTCCTCATCCGCGAGGAGCGGGGACAAGGCCGGTCTTCATGTATGATAGTGGCACCGTACTAGGGGGTCGGTGGCCATGAAATGATGTCGGCACTGGGGGGCGATCTGCAATGATCAATCTTTGTTCCGTCATCCGCTCGTCTTACCCGACCTTTAGCCCGGTCCTTTGGATCCTGAGCTGAGCTAAGCCGCGATTGTGATGAGGAACGGGTTTATCCCCTTTGGGGATTCCCCGGTCTCTCTCTCTCTCTCTCTCTCTCTATATATATATATATATATATATATATATATATATTATGACTTTTTTGGAGAGGTCTTTGAATATGATGATGGCACCGTACCGGAAGTCGGTGGCCATGTGAAGATGTCGGCACTGCGGCCGATCCGAAGGAGTCAATCAACGGTCCTCATCCGCGAGGAGCGGGGATGAGGCCGGTCTTCAAGTAGGTGAGCATGCTGTGCCGAAAGGCTAGTCGTGATATAAGGCGTCAGCATTAAGAGGCCGAATCCACCAATATTCGTGCAACGGTCCTCATCTGCGCGAGGCAAGGAGGAATCCGGTCTTCGAAAGATAAACACATCGCGCTGGGGGGCCATTCGGCATTCGACATTATGGCCCACGTGCGACTTGTGATTTTTCCTTTTTAGCCGGCCTTGAATGTCTTCGGGATTCATGCCGAACATCATTTAACCGCTTTGCTCGAACGCGTCGAACGACTTCAACTGCAAAAAAGAGCATGCACAGGGCCGCACGGCCCGGCAATATGTGTACACATATAAATAACCATATGCGCACACCCTTCTTTTTTCAACGACTACGATTACCGGCCTACATGTTACCGTGATCTTCGGCTCGGCTCATCGTGCGGGGTTCTTTGACGCAACCGTCCATGGCAGGGCCACTTAGTGGATTGTCGGATGTCTCATAGAAACAATTGTCGGTCCATGAGATTGTAAATTCAACCCCACGTTAGGTGCATTTCCTCCTAAAGGTTAAGCGCCTCGGTGACCTCGGGCCCCACGGGCCACGGCTGGCAAACCGTCACCTCACGCCTGGCAGCGTGGATGAGACTGGGGTACGATTGTCGATCGAACACTTGGTGCCGTGCAGAATCATGCACAACCCCTAAACTAAAATGTGTCTCGGGGCAATGCCACTCAAAGATGCTCCAACTGCTAATTACAGCCGATCGGGAGTTGGTCAACGGGCCCATTAAAAACAATCATTACACTGCATTAATGATGGGATACATTATCCCCGAAGCTCCACTCGACATTATTTAATTTTGGGATATTTTAATCCCTAATAAATAATATTACATAACAGACATGGTAATTATGCTATCGTACTGTAAGCCATTCAGATATGCTCCGATCGCTTACTAAAGCCGGTCAGGGCAGCCCGCAAGCTTACCAACCAGTCATTTAATTAAAATGACGGTGAAAATTTATCACTAGAGCTTCGCTCGGTTATTATTCAATTTGGGATATTTTAATCCCTATTATATAACGGTGATAAAAATACTAGCAATAATACTACTTTAACACTTCATCAATAAGTAATGAGAGTGTATGTGATACTTAGCTCTTAAGGAATAACAAGGAGTGTGCTTGTTCGCCTAAACCGGGTGGGCAAGTGGCCATTACTTTGACCAGGTTGGACAGACTTCCCATTGCTACAGTCCCCCATCACATTGGGACAGGCTAGCGGCTCCACCCTAATGACCCTATTACCAAGAGAGCAGCCATAGGCTACTGTCGCTATTCCGCCCACAACACCTTTATCTTCAGAGACTTCCCAGTGGCTATGGCGGATGATGGTAGTGGCCGGTGGGCACATTCGTGGCCAACCAACGGCGGTACCGGAGAAGGTGGTCTGCAAGCACCCACGAACATCGGTTCTAGGAGACCGGTACCGTGTGGAAAACGGCGGAGACCTTCCGTTGTGATGTCGACGTCAAGTTGAGGGGTCGTGTTTTCCTTTGAAGGTGAGCTATGGGCGGCCATTAACGGCGGAACGCTATAAGCTCTCTCTGACGTGAGGATGACCAGAGACCATTCGATGGCAATGGCACCCCCACCTGGTGCAACGACGTCGATCTCAGCTCTATGCGGCTGGCCTGCTGCGGCTCTGCGGCAGCAAGGCCCTGAACGGCAAGGACGAATTCCGGCAAGTAGGAAGCATCAGTTAATGGCTCACGGCGGCGGCGTGGTTGCTGATGGGGCTCCGGAGGCTCCAGATTTGGATAATCCCATATCCAGATTCCTGATCCTTCATCTCCCTTCCTTTCCCTTTTTTTTGAAATCAGTACACTTCGCATTTTTTTGTTGTAGCTCAAGAACACATATTTTAGAACAAGGTTCCCACAGACGGTGCTAGTGTTGAGTTTAATCCAACACGATATAGTAAATATGTATATAAATGTGTATGAACAACTATTTTTACGTGGAAATCTGAAAGGGATAAAACCACGAGACTTTTTAGGCTAATGTCCAAGCCCTCTCTTTCTCATTAGGACTCTCCTCCCATTACATTGTACAAGCTCCTATTAATGGAGTATTGAAGTTAGCTCTAAAAGGGGAGGAAGAAAAAGCTCCAAAGGGGTCCTTGATAAGGAGGGAACTCCTCCTATTTATAGATAAAGGGGGAAGGGGGGCTCTCCACCCTAATGGGCCGAATGGGCAGAAATGGGTCCAAAGATCGAAACAGGCCTGATAGGCTAAAATGGGCTTTACAGATTGGGCTTCATGCTACGTAAAGTCTTGAGCTCCTGAACAGTAATAGTCCGGGATAATATATCCCAACAATATGCTAAAATTAACAGCTAGACCAACCGATTTCTCTCTAGAGCAAGGTGTGCAAATTTATTCAAAAATGTTATTCAGGCGATTCCCACTTATGCAATGAATGTATTTTTATTGCCAAAGGAGTTATGCGAGGATATAGAGAAGCTGATGAATGGGTTTTGGTGGAGGGGATCAAAGTTTGATCAGAAAGGGATGAGGTGGAGAAGCTGAAAAAACATGTGCAAACTAACCGAGGCAGACGAACTAGGTTTTAGAAGGCTCAGGGAGTTTAATCTGGCAATGTTAGCAAAGAAGGGTTGAAGATTGATTAGTGACGTGAACAACTTAATGGGGAGGATCATGAAAGCAAGGTATTTTCCTAACTTAGATTTTCTTAATGATAAATTGGAAAGTAACCATTCTTTCGTGTGGAGGAGCATTTTTGAGACTCATAATATTTTGAGGGATAATACTCGACGAAGGGTGGGCAATGGAATTAATGTCCAAGTGTGGGCGAATGCATGGTTGCCAGGATGTGATGTTCGGAGGATTACTTCGGCGAGGCCAACGAGGATACGAGACATGAATGTAGCTGCTTTACGAGACATTACAGGAAGAAAGTGGAACGAGGAAAGAATAAATTCGTTGTTTAATGAGGAGGATAGGAGGAAGATTTTCAGCATTCCGATTAGTGCGGTAGACGGGGCAGATGGATACTGGTGGAAAGGGGAGGCTAATGGAATTTTTTCTATTAAGAGCTGTTACAGAATGCAGATGGGGGAATATACAGGGGAAGCAACTGATGTGTGGAAAAAGCTATGGAAATCCCAGGTACCCCCAAAATTTAAATTTTTTATTTGGCAGGTACTAGATGGGTCGATACCGACGGTAGACAACATGCGGCGAAGGGGCATAGCGGTGCAGAATGGATGCAAGTTATGTGATGATCATGTTGAATCCTTGAATCATGCCTTACGGAGCTGTAACTGGGCAAAAACGGTCTGGCAGAAAGCGGGATTTGCGGTAGAGGAGGACTAACCAGTAGAAGAATGGCTATGACGGAACCTAGTGACAACCGAGGAAGAACACAAGAGCAGATTTATCTCGCTGCTGTGGGGGCTATAGAAGAGGCGCAATACTGCAGTCTGGAAGGATCAGAAACAAGATGCGACCAATGTGATAAATAATGCAGCATGGATGATTACAAGTTGGCAGGAAGTTCAATACTTTAATATGTACAAAAGGAGGAATAATGACACGAAAGCGGAGAAGTGGAGAAAATCAGTTAAAAATGCCATTAAAATCAATATTGATGGGGCGGTCAATGAATCGGGTGGAATTAGAGTATGGGGTTGGGTTGCTCGGGATGATGAAGGAAAGCTCCCGAAAGCAAAGGGGGGTTCGGCAAAAGCAAATTGGTCGGTAGCTGAGACCGAAGCTATGGGGCTAAAGGAGGCTATAACTGGAGCAATTGAGGAAGGTTGGAATAAGGTGGAGTTTGAAACAGATGCTATGACGGTCATGAAGAGTGTTCAGAATGGGGGAAGATCATCTTATTTTCATATTATCATTGATGATATTAGGGAGGTGTTGGAAACATGAGTCTTTTTTCTCTCTTTTTGTAAACAGTTTACGAATCATGTAGCTCATGCAATTGCAAGAGCACATGTAGATCTCCCAGATCACCAAAGTAGCTATGATGTATTACCCGAATGTATTGCTAGCCTATTGGCTAATAATTATTTGGATTAATATGAATTGTTGGAGTTGATGATAAAAAAAGGCTACTCGCTTACTATGCACTAGCTACCGTAACTGTGCAACCAACCAAGGGCTGTCCTGGCCTCCTGGGGGCAGTAAGGGCGTAGTCTGTAGGCCCAAAAGTTTGTAAAATAATCTTAGGCCCATTAGTTAGGCCCTAACAAAAAAATGAAATTTAAAAGGTGGGACCAGTCCTGGGATTAGTTGGGAGCTTCTGTCTGTATTTATATTTTCTATATTGACTGAGCATGCGGGGCGGGGCGACGCCACTTCCGAAGAGAAATACCGGTGAGACGATCGAGTGATCGAGAAGACGGAGGAGAAATTCCGATTCCAATTTTTTGATTTGATTGCTTCAATTTTGGGGTTTGATGCTTAAAGCTTTGCTTGAATAGATGAAAAACCATATCCTCACGGCTCCATATCGCACACGGCTCCTCTCCACAGGTGATGCAACCCATTAGCAACGGTCACCTGGGACCTATATTACTCGTTACATATTATAACTTGTTATATAGAATCATATCTGTTGAATTGATGTGCCCTATGATCATAACTTTTTTTTTGTTAAATCTTGTTATCTTATGAATTGCTAGTTTTTTTAGTGTGTAAATTTTGTTGTGTATGTATGGTGTTCGGTTAAAATTTATAAACTTTTTAAATTTGACATATGGAATTATGAAAGACTTCACATTATTGCAACTCTTTGAAATATTTTTATTATGTGTATTAGTTTAAAGAGAAATGTGTTTTTACAATTTTCTAGAACAAGCCCAATATAGATGATCACCCCTAGGACTAGAAATAGATAGGACAGGCCCTGCAATCAACAATTACGGTTTTTATTTTAATACTTGTGTCACACCATGTTGCCGAAAATAGTATTTTTAAATGATTATTTCATACTAATGGTGTAATGTCATTCTTTTTGGTATTTTAGGCACTTTTGATAGCCTGTATCTTAGTACACAATTTCAGATTTCACCGTTCACGACTACTTCTTCTTGGTTATGAAGCAGCAATCAGTCTATGCATTTTTCGACGCGATTTTCACAATGGGTCATCCGAACCCCTTACCCCACCAAAGGTGGAGCCTTTGCGGCACTGGGTAATGATGATTATGATGATGACTGTTTATGGCTACTTGTTTTTAGGTCACTAGCTACCCTAGTTTCACAATGAGCCATTACGGTTTTTATTATAATAATTGTCTCATACAATGTTGCTAAATATGTTGTCTTCATTTTTTTAGAAAAAAAAAGAAATTATGATAATGATATACAATTTCAGAGTAAATCCATGCCTAATTCTGAAATAAAGGTAGGTGTTTTGATTCAGTTCCAGATTTAGTTAGAAATTTAGAATCGCCTTAAATGAGTATGGGAGTTTGTAGGTTATCATGCATTCATGCTCAGTTTCTAGACCATGGAGAACTAAAGCTTTTATCATTACTCTTTTTTTGGTAAGCTATAATGGGTATTCTGTTTGGCTAATAATCTTTTTTTCCCTGAAGACACTCAAGGAGGTTGAAGGGGGAAACTATGGAAGTGTCAGGCATTTCTAAGAATATTAGGAAAGGATGGATTGATCCAGACTCTAAAGAAGATGACTATGAGCCAAATGTTGTGAGAGCCACACACAGACGTTCTCGGGGAAGTATTAAAAAATTAGTGAATATAACCACTGTGATGAACAAGTGTGAAGGTTCATTCTGCAGAAGTGCCTCATCATCTCCTAGCATTCATTCAGATCCTTCTTATTATGAGGAACAAAGTGAGGAAGAGGAGGAGGAGGAGGAGGAGGTGGAACAAGCGTACAATCCAGAATGTTCATCAAGAAATAAGCAGACTGTGTTAAGTCGAAATAATAATAATCAAGCTCACAATAAGATAAGCTCACAGAAGCATGAATTTTCTCCCTGCAAGAAACAGTTAAGAAGGAAGCCTGCTGAAAAGAGAATAAGATACGAAGAGCAAAAAGAGCTGGGGAATGGTACGAAGTCAGATGCACAGTTGCATCAAAAGAGAAGCACTTTAAAGAGGAAAAGGAAATTTATGATGGATGAAGCAGAGGACGGAAGTGAAGAGGAATGGGGAAGAATCAAAACCCCGCGACCATCATTTGTTATTGAAAGAACTCAGAAAACTCATGAATTTGAAAGTTCACCTACTAACAGAAGGTCATTAAAGCGTGCTGCTGCATCATACAGAAAATATAATCTTGATCATGATTTTTATGTTGGTGAGTGGGATGATGAAGATGATGATGTTGATTATGATGAAGATTTGGCCCCAATAACAAAGACAACTCAGGTTAGTAATAGTGGTTTACAACATGAGGTGGTTGCTATTGAAAGGGATGATTCTAATGTTTATGACACAAGAAAAAAGAAAGATTCTAGGAAGTTCTCCTCTAGTTCTTCATCTTCATCGTCTTCCTTATCTTGTTTGACAGTATCAAAGCGTGACAAGAAGGTAATAATTAATTCTTCCATTTTGTTAATCCCATTTTGTGTGCCATAATCTTCAGTTTTATATAAGAAGTTTGTGTGATATTTAAAGCTAATAATCTCTTGTTTCAGATTGATCATCAGGCAAGAAGGGTTGTACCGTCAGCAATGTGCCATCAATGTCAAAGGAGAGATAGAAGAGTCGTTATTGCATGCAGCAACTGCAAACAAAATCTATACTGCATTCGGTGTATCAAGCAGTGGTGAACTCCTAACCTTATGCATTCCCTCTTTTTCTCTTTGACATTGTTCTTCAAAAGTAATTAAATAGTACCATGTTTTGAAAAGTTAGAATCCTTTCGTTTTGAACACATCCTGCCCCATGATTATATTTTAAGGGTGCCCTTAGTTAATTAAACATCTTCCTGCACTGTTCAGACTCCAGAGTCTAAGGTCTTCTTTTCAGAATTAAAAAAGAATTTAATATTTTATGCTCTAAAAAGTAGGTCTACTGTTAGCTTTTCTGCATAGTTCTGATTCCGAAGTCTACTAGACACTTTATATTTTCCCTACTTTTTTCTCTTACATTCCTCTTTCTTTTTAGTTGTTCAGATAGAATAATGGAAAGAACAAAGAAAGCCGTTTAAAGTCTAAGTTTATATGTTTGATTCCTAAATAGCCTTATTGAACATTCAGTTGCAGATCATTATTGTGCACTGATAGAACACAGGTATTGGATTCACAAAACAATATAGAATTCAAGAGAAATTGTAGAAGAACAGATAGAAAGTGTTATTCAATAGGGAAATCAGTTCACGAACAGTACAGTGCCCCAGGACAATTCGAGATGCCCAGTCTCCCAGCCTAATCTCAACAGAATACTCGCCTACCTTATTTCCTCCCTTCCCCTTCTATTTATACCACTACCAGTACACTTTCTATTATTATTATTATTATTATTATTATTATTATTATTTCTATTGTTAGCCAGATTCCTATCAATACTCCCCCCTAAATAACCACCTTGTCCTCAAGGTGGGTGATAGGAATCAGCCATGATCTTCCACTTCCACTTCATTCTTGCACCTCTCCCTTCCCAATACATCCCAGATTGCTTGGTCATGACCTTCATTACTTGACCTTTCATCGTCACTTCTTTCGCATCAAACAGGAGCAGAAACTGGAGATGAAAACTCCCTGGAATTATGTTGTCAAAGATAATACTTCTTTCACCCCTTTCTGCAGTGTTCCTATCCCCATCTCCACTTTGACCAAGCTTGTGACATGAAATTGAATGAGGTCCTACCTGTTTTACATGATAACCAAACCTTGAAGCCTCTTCATTGTAATCAATATCATCATATAAAGGTTCTGCAATAAAAAATCCAGCTGCCCTTGTAGTAGCTTCAGCTGATTTATGAAAGTTCAGTTCATGTCCTCCTGTCAAAGTGCCAACCCACGAGTTGGTAGGTGAAATAAGTGTACTTGGACTTTTTCCATCTCGAAGTACAATAGCAGAAGAAACAGATGAACCACACTTCTCTTTGCATGCAACAGTCCCAATTAAACTCTCTTGCACATATAAACTGTTCTCACTAGGTGGAACCTGAAGACTACATCTTCCACTGTCATCTAACTTCTTTTGTTGGTGTGTCCTGTTTTCTTCCAGATATTCTTGTGGATATCCCATAGGTTGCTTAACACCATAATGTGTATCCAGTTCCAAATCTGAAGATGCAGCTAGCTTCAACTCGATGTTCTTTGCCAATGATGGAGTGCCCTGCAATCCCCTTCTTGATTCAACTAAATTTATGGCTCCTGAAACAGATGACAGCTGTGAACGATTGAGGAATCCAGCAACTGTACCAGCTTCAGGTCCTCACTGTAGATTGCTCCTCGTTTTTGTCTTCTGTCAGTTTCTTGATTACATATTCAGCGGACTTCAACTGGGCATTCTTTGTCGACTGGGGATAGTCTTGTGCAGGTTGAGAAACGGCTTGCGATAGCACTTGCGAACATGAATGTTCCTCTCTCGATTGCGTTACATTCTGATGTGAGTAGATCGCAAATGAAAGTGCCTGCGGATTGAGCGAACTGTTTCGCATCTGTGAATTTGAGACTTCCGTTTGCAACGCAGTATACGAACTGAGAGAAGTGGTTCACATCTGTGAAGTAGGAGAAATGTCAAACGATGCTGACTGCGAGGACACCTGCGGACGACCGAGAGAAACGGCTTGCGGTGACGATCACTGATGAAAAACAGTTCTTGACGAAACCAGAGAAGTGGAAGGGTTTTCTACTTTTCTCGCGAGTGAGAACTGGAAGACGTTGTAGGCGAAGACTTCTGTGTGTTTCCGACTGCGTGTAAATCTACTTTTCGTCCCGTCAGAATAGGTCTTTTACTGCTATCACGATTTTGCGTATGTTGAGAAGAATCAACTTGCGGTGAATCCTGCGGACCAGTGGACTCGACTCTCGCGTGTTGAGCTCTGCGAACGGAGACCTGCGAACTGGTAGACACTGTTCGTGATTGTGATTGCAAAGAAGTTCGCGATTGTGAACTCAGAGTTTCACACCTCGATTGTGTCTTACGTGAACTGGAAGAAATTTCTCGTGATTGAGAAGAAAACTGCTCAGTTAGCGACAATCTGGAAGAATTAGTTCGCATCTGTGAACTAAAGGACGTCCTTGGCAACCGCGATCGTCGTCTAGTCTGGAAGAGTTCTTCCATCGCAGCTAGCTTTCTGTCAAGGTTTTCCGCCATTGTTTTCAGGTCTGTTAAGTTCTTCTTCGTCGATGTCTAATGCCTCTCCCACGAATCCATCATATTCTCCAGCGAATCCATCTTATGCTCTGATACCAATGATATAACACATGTATTGGATTCACAAAACAATATAGAATTCAAGAGAAATTGTAGAAGAACAGATAGAAAGTGTTATTCAATAGGGAAATCAGTTCACGAACAGTACAGTGCCCCAGGACAATTCGAGATGCCCAGTCTCCCAGCCTAATCTCAACAGAATACTCGCCTACCTTATTTCCTCCCTTCCCCTTCTATTTATACTACTACAAGTACACTATTATTATTATTATTATTATTATTATTATTATTATAATTATTATTATTATTATTATTCAGATTCCTATCGTGCACTAACTAGTCATGGATATTATTTAGGATGCCTACATATATAATTTCTATTTAGCGGGTGAGGCTTACGTCTCAGGGTACGTTTATGCCTTTTTTAACCTTAGGCACTACCTCTATCCTAAGAAATAGTCATATTTGATCAAGGTACACGTTTAAATTTCGGAAAGGTACAAATTTTATGACACTAGTCATACCTTAAAAACTTAGGTTGGTTTAACGTAGTTCAGTATCACTGTGTTGAAGTTATAGATAAGTCATTTTTTAGGGCAGAGGTAGTATCACATTTAATGTTATCTAATCAATTCTCTTAACCCTACCAAAAAAAGGTATCCTGACCTGGCAGAGGAAGAAATTGCAGAGATTTGCCCTTTTTGTCGTGGAAATTGCAATTGCAACAATTGTTTACACTTGAGTGGCTTCATCAGGGTACAAGTCTTTCTTTGATCAGATTAACTTGACTTTTCTTATGTCTTCTGACTATTTGTACTGTACATACAGACATCAAGAAGAAGTCTCTCCGGCGCTGAAAAGATTCAACATCTCTACTATTTGGTTGATAAACTTCTTCCCTTCCTTGTACAAATCCTTAGAGAACAGGGTCTGGAGATAGAGATAGAATCTCTTATCCAAGGTGTCCATCCATCTCTAATTGAGGTCAAACAGTCAACATTTTACAAAGACGAGAGAGTGTACTGGTGAGTTTTTGTTTTGTTTTGTTTTGTGAAAATGATAATAAATTGGATTTTAAACAATATTTTTTTACTTTATCAGTAATCAGTGTTCAACTTCAATAGTGGATCTTCATCGATGCTGCCCGGGCTGTTCCTATGAGCTATGTCTGCGTTGTTGTGATGAAATTCGAAATGGGAAGTTTCCAGGGTGTCCTGTAAAAGAAATCGTCAAATATAAAGATAAAGGATATGAATACATGCATGGTGGTGAGCCACAACCAGAAGCTACTAATGATGTAGAGAAATCAGTGTTAGATAATTATAATGAAACACCAATGACTGAATGGGCTGTCAAAGGTGATCGCAATATAAGCTGTGCTCCTAAAGAAATGGGTGGATGTGGAAGTGGTATCCTGGAGCTCAAGCGTCTCCTTCCAACAGATTGGATCTTCAATTTGGAAGCAAAAGCAAAAAGTGCTTTGAGTAAATGCAGAAGGCATGTCTTGCAGACAACTGCCATTAATAAAACTAACCCTGAGAAGTTGCGCAGAGCAGCAGACAGAGCAGGTTCGAATGACAACTACTTGTACTGCCCAACTGGTAGGGATGCTATGCACGAGGAAGAGCTTCACCAGTTTAGGAGTCATTGGGGTAGGGGTGAACCTGTGATTGTTACAGGTGTCCTTGAGCAGACAGTTGGATTAAGTTGGGAACCAATGGTAATGTGGCGAGCATTATGTGAGAACAGAAATCCAAAAAGCATCAGTTCAATTATGTCAGAAGTGAAAGCTATTGATTGCTTGGCTGGGTGTGAGGTTAGCTTAGTTTGAATTTTACTAGCAAATATAATCTTAAAAGATGTGCCAAAAAGGGAATTTTGCCTGCATAACTAAGGGATGTCCTCACAGCCAGATCCCATGAATACAACCATTTTGTGTGCTGTCTGCTTTTATGGATAAAATAAATTGTTTAAGCTTCTGTAAAAACAGTATGCATGCTGGATCTGGGCGGGCCAAGCTTGTTTGAGGCAACACCTCCCTTTTTCACGTATTTTTACTGTAGTATCTTTTACACACTCGTGTGTGTACTGTGTGTACACATACATAAATACACACACGCGTACACATATATAATGCATGGCATGTGTATATGTATGTGCGGTTCCAATAAAAAGTGAGGTTATCATGCAAAGTGCGAACGATTGCACTAATTGTTATGCACGGTGCACTTTTAGATTCAAACGATGCACACTTTTAGAAATGACGGAAAATTTTGACGTAATTACGAATATGCCACCACACTTTTGATCATTTTTAATGCATTGTTGGCATATTTAGTCATCTGATCATAAACTGGATACATCGGATCTATTCTTACTTTTCATGTGAAGTGCATTTTTTATTTGAACTCATCCCTATATATAGAGAGAGTTTTTGGATCAAATAAAAAAGGTTCTTCCCATGAAAAGTAAGAATAAATCTGGAACATCGGAATTATTATTTAATGGCTCTAAATATGTTAAAAATGCATAAAAGTGGATGAAAACGCGGTGACATTTTCGTAAAACTCAAAGTTTTTCTTCATTACAAAAACTGCATACTTCCAATATGTAATAGTGTACCGTATATGACCAAAAGTGGACAGTGAAAATTATCTGAATGCAACAGTACACCTCAAATGCTTAAGTGTATTCATTCTCCCTTTGTACGGAAGATCACTTTCTTTTGGAAGCGGACCTTAAATATATGTATATGTATATGGAGAAAACTTCATGTCCAATAGTCTAGAGGCTTAATATCCAGAAGAAATGAACAGTCCATTGGATCTAATGAACGGTTCATTTAAAAAAGTAATCGGGAGTGGATTGAATTGTTTTGAGTCTGATGCCTTCTTCTCTCTCTGAGCTTCCTTTTCCTTACTCCCCCCCCCCCCCCCCCTTACACCATTGTGCCTCTTTTCGTTTACGCATGCTTATTTTCTTTCATTCTTTCTCCCCCTCATAGCATACCTCTTTTCCCCCCCTTTCCGGACCTTTGTCCAGAGCACACAGAATGACTTTTTTTGTTTCCTTTGAGCAAGTTTTTGGCAGCAACTCTTTTCCCTTTCCTTTGAGCACACGAATCACTTTTTTTGTTTCCTTTGTGCAAGGTTTTGGCAGCTAGTGTTTTGTAAATCCTTTTTATCTGATCTAGATGATCATTTTTTAGATATTTTGTAAGGATTAATGACTAATAACCTGGAATAAAAGACATGCCTAAATTATGAACTTATAAGAACGCCTTTAGGATCTACTCTCTCTGGCCCATTTTGGTTGTCTTGCTTTCCTTTGTTGGCAAAAATATGTGGTCCCAAAATGAGGGTTACTCTCTAATTTTCATTTCTTCTGGATTGTAAAGCACCAGACAACCAGACATGAAAGTGACTCTATAGATATGTATATATATGTGTACATAAATATATATATATATATATATATATATATATATATATATATATATATATATATATGTGTGTGTGTGTGTGTGTGTGTGTGTGTGTGTGTTTTACACACACACACACACATGTAGGGAAGGGTTTATATGGGAGCTTCTCTCAGAATAAGAAATTTTGAGATTTTTTTATCTCAAATTTTTATACTTTTCTATCAATGGCTAAAAATAAAAAAGTCATTGTAATTATTTTAGATTCAAATGCATGCTTTTTTACAATTATTTGTAAAAAATTATAGAAATTTCACTTTATCAATATTAGCCATTAATTTGATATGTAAGGTGAAGAAAAACCATCCATTCAAAAACCCTTTCCTACACACACACACACACCTATGATGTATGAAGGTTCATACATGAGACTCCATCTAATCATGAGAGTATATGTGTAATCAGGAACCATTAATCGTCACATTTCATGTTATTCATCAATAACTAATATTAATGACGTGACATTTTTTTTTTGTTTTTTGAAAGAAAAACCCGTTGTTTGCATTCGTAAAATTGCCACCTTATGGGTGCTTTCCAGTGAGTGAAAAAAGTGAATGGTTAGGTTAAAAAATTCACATAATAAGCCATGGAGTGCTAGCTACCTTAGAGTCCTAGCAAGTGGTATTCTCTTCACTTTATACTTGGTTTGCTATGTATTACGGAGTATTATTTATTTTTAGGGAAAATCACTTTAAATAATACAAACTATGTTCCATAAACCAAGAATAGTACGTACTTCGAGAAATTTTTAATAATATCAACTATTTGAATATATATCAAAAGTGATATAGAGCCATTTTTCACAAAAAGTTAGTCGTTTTAACTCATCAAAAACTAATATCAAAATATCAAATAGGTGATCGTATTTCCAAATATCATTTATTTAATGTCTTAAATGACTGAATTTCTTATTGAAAAATGGCTCTGTATTATTTTTGTTCTATATTCAAATAGTTGGCATTATTAGAAATCATTTTCAAAGTATATATTATTAATGATTTATGACTGATAGATGATATTATTTAAAAGGGAAAGTTCCCAAAATAGGACTATGACAGTTTGAAAATTCCAAAATATGAATGTCATGTTTTTTATTCCCAAAATAGGACTAATTACTGTCATGTTTAGAAAATACTGCCATATTTGAATTCTAGTACTGCCAAAACATGGCAGTAATTAGTCCTGTTTTGGAAAAAAAACATGGCAATCCTATTTTGGAATTTTCAAACTTTTTAGTCATATTTCGGGTAAATTCTCTATTTAAAATTATTTCCCTTTATTTTAATCAAATAAATCAAGTTCTTTATTTACCCTAGACCAACTCTTATATTCTAGATGAGAAAACTAATCAAGATGGCGCCTCAATGATCCTGATTGCCACTAGCATTTAGGCTTGATTACCTAATATTTTTTCTTTAAATTAAATGTACTAGATTAATTACCAAAAGGGGAAGCAAAAATTACATGACAAATTTACTCTTTAATTTTTCTTTGCAAATTTCATTATTATAAGGGAAAATGGTCAAATAGACCCTTATACTAAAAATTGATCTATCCAGCCATTCAATCAGCTTTACATGTATCAGTAGGTTTTTAATACTAAAAACTATATTATTTTGCATTTTTAAAATTATTTGTATATTCTACATATGTTTAAAAGGTTTTGCATTTTATATTTTATATTTATCACATTTTCACTTTATTCTTTATTTTCTGTTTCTAATTTATTTACTTTAACGTTTTTTTATTGTTTATCTTTTTTGCATTTATACTATTTTTTGTATTATTATTACATTATTTTTCATACATTTCAAATTTATTTGAATATTTACAAGATTTATCAATTGTCCTAATTTATTTTTAAAAAATAACTGATATAGCACATCAAAATGTCTTGATTGATTTGTTTTTAAAGTTTGTCCCGCTAAAATTGTCTCATTTCACATTTTTGGAAAATCCCACTAAGATTGGCCCATACCAAATTTGATAAAGTTTGTGTGGATCTAAAACATTTGTACTTTATTCTTACTTTATCAATTCAATATCAATCACATTAACCCACGTTTCTTAATAATCGTGTCATCTCTTCTTGTCTCAATATTAGTGCGATGAAGATAGTATATATTTTTTAGTATAGGGGGTGAAGTGATAGATTGAAAATAGTAGAAGGTTAATTTGATCTCTTTTCCATATTCTAGTATCCTGAGGCAATGCCCTCGTCCCTTGTCGGAGCCTCGGAGATGTTGCACATGATCAAGGATGCCAATTGCACCCCATAGTCACCGGAGGCGCTACATTGTTGGAGTACTATCGTTGTCATGTCTTGCCAAAGAGATGGCATGTCATAAATACTACCTGTGTTCCATAAAACTTGGCCAACTTCCTTGTTTGGTCGTCCTAAAAAACTTTGTCATTTCCATTTGAAGTAACTAATGTGTGGTTAAAGTTGTTTCTCTCATCAGCATGAATCTCAACCACACAATGTTTACTTTATCATTCTACGTCCGAGTCAACTTTGATTAAGTTTTATGGGACAAAGGAGTATTTCATAGAAGAAGAAAAAGTGAACAAAACAACCATAGTGAAGACTAGAGGCAATCTAGTGAGCGGGTTGAGAACGGCGATATTAAGAATCCAACCCTACATACAATGACAAAAGGTCAAGATCAAGTTGTTGACAACAAAAGTACGGATCAAGTTGTGGACTTGAAAAGCTTGGCAAAAATTTTCAAGTGAAAGTGCCGAAAGCAACCAAAGTTGTCAAACTTGTTTGCCGAAAATGTAAAGACTTGTGGTGGACCGTGTTCCTACTATGCTAACAATGTTAATGAATGTCTAGAAAATCTGCAAAGGTGGCAACTCAATCCTATATCAATAAAATAACTAAGCTTCCATTCCAGTTTTGGCGAAGTCGTGGCAAGAAGCTTAACGAGAGTGATGGCACGAAACAAGTAAGGACGTGTTTATTGGACTAAATTTGGTTGGACTAGTTTCATCTTATTTCAATCGGTCTATTCAACTCTAGTATAGTTGATTTGATTTGATGTGGTCTAGTATGGAGACAATTGTAGATTTCATTATTATCTCATGCTAGATAGTCTATTAAAATTTGTCTAATTTGGTATGTTTAAGTTTGACAACTTTTCCTATAGTTTGATCTGGTCTATGACTAAAATAATTCTAAGAGAACAAGTCCTGAATTACAAAATGACATATTGCACTTCGTAGATTTCTTTTGACCTTGGTAACAGAGTCAATTAAATACAATGAGGAAAGTACTAAGAGAGGATAAGAGATGAAGGTTATGATGTAGTTGTGAAAAAGGAGGACAAGAGATGAGGAAGAAGGTGGGAGAAGAAGTGGGAATATTCACTCATATCTTCGAGATTTTATGTGCGTGTAAACTTTCTTTCTAAAAGGATGGATCTAGCCGGGTATTCATAACTGGTAGGTTTTGATTTGCAAAATTTCCTGTTTTGTTTGTTCCAAAATAATTTTTCACTTTCCATTTTAATTATGGAAAGATAGATAAAGTGACAAATTTATCGATCTGGCCTGAGATTGAGAGTCAGCATTGTCTTAAAAAAGGAATTGAAACTAGTTTGGATCAGTACACATTTCGATTTAGGTTGGAAAAGCGAATGGTTGGTATATATTTAAGTTTAGAATGGAAAAATCAATTTGATCTCTTAATAAATAGGCTTGTCCCATCTCTAATTGGAAAACCCCTAATTGCTTCAATGATTGGAGGGTTTAGTCAATCCCATCTAAACTCCGACATTGATCACTCTGGGTTGTGTGCAAGGACAATAACCACTCCAACAAGGAAGCACAAATTCATGTATCTATCAGAGCTCTAGATGCTTTGGACTGTATATGTTGAAAATCCAATTTTGCCTCTGGGATAGATAGGTGATGAAATGGCCGTTGGATTTTAACAAAAAAGGATGACATTCTATGTCTGAGTCCTCCATTTGAGATGATTTCGAGCAAAAAATTTTTGATAACATTTTGTGAAGTGTAGATTATATCCACTGAATTTCAGATTAAATTTGAGTTGGAAATTCAATTAACTAAATTATGGAAAAACACTACGTTTTAATATATATATTTTGGCGCAATGTTTTTTATATAAATTTCATATTAAAGTTCAGATGGGAAGTCAATTTAACTGATTTGCCAATTCACTTTTAAATTTAAAATTAGTGTAAATAATCTACACATCATGAAGAACATTGTCCCATAATTTGATCAACAAATCCACATGAAAGCATCTCAAACATAGGCATTCGGATGGTGGATCTTGTGAGGTAGTTTGATTAAGAAATGTTAATTTAACTAATTATTTTGGGATGGAGTATCATAAAGTTGAATTACATATCAAAGTATCTAGAAGACAACTAGGATTGAATTAGAACTCTTGATACATAGAAACTTAAGTACAATGATTATGTTATATAATAATTGTATTTAAATCAAGTAAGTACTACCTCCAGGCTCCATCCCGGTGTACTTTGCCAAATGCAAAGTAGGTGAGAAATAAGAATAGTAAAAACTGTGTGGTTGAGATTTGTGCAGAGGAAAGAGAAATGTGTAGAACCATAAATTAGTTGCTTTAGTAGGAAAGTGACAAATTTTTTTGGGACAATCAAAAAAGGAAAGTTGACAAAGTCCAATGGAATAGAGGGAGTAATAATTTACAATTTATTAAATTTGTTACTTCTTTCTGCAGGTTCAAATTAATACACGAAAATTTTTCCAAGGATACACTGATGGGAGAAGATATGAAAACTTCTGGCCAGAGATGCTAAAATTGAAGGATTGGCCACCTTCTGACAAGTTTGAGGACCTCTTACCACGCCACTGTGATGAGTTTATCAGTGCACTGCCATTTCAAGAGTACACTGATCCAAGGGCTGGGATCCTCAATCTTGGGGTCAAGTTGCCACCTGGTTTCATTAAACCTGATTTAGGTCCCAAAACTTACATAGCATATGGCGTCGCAGATGAGCTTGGGAGAGGAGACTCTGTAACTAAGCTTCATTGTGACGTGTCTGATGCAGTATGGTCTTCTTTACCATATTTTTGGATAATTGTTCGTTATTCTTTTCCCTTGTTTCTTGCTTAAAAGAATATCAATATCTTCAGATAAATATTTTAACACACACAACAGAAGTACCTTCAAGTCACGAACAGAGATCTGCAATCCAAAAGTTGAAGGAAAGACACAAAGCTCAAGATGAAAGAGAGGGCCTTGTAAAAAGTGATTACATTTCATGTAGTGACGAATGTCGAAGATCATCATCCTCAAGTCCTTTTCAAATTGAGGAACCTAGAGATGTTGGTGGAAGTGCACTTTGGGATATATTTAGGAGAGAGGATGTACCTAAGCTGAATGAGTATCTTGTGAAGCATTCAAAAGAGTTTAGGCACACTTACTGTAATTCAGTGGAAAAGGTAAAAATCAAAAGTGCATCACTCTACTACCATGAATGTCTTGTACTAGCAATCAAAATTCTTTCTAATATCTTTCTTTCTCAGGTTTTTCATCCCATTCATGATCAAAGCTTCTATTTAACTTCAGAACACAAGAGAAAGCTAAAGGAAGAGTATGGTTAGTAGCACCAGTCCTGCACTCATTGAATTAAAATATTCATATTTTAATATATACATGATTATATAGGAATAGAGGCCTGGACATTTGAACAGAGACTTGGAGAGGCCATTGTCATCCCTGCAGGTTGTCCTCATCAAGTAAGAAATCTTAAAGTAAGTGCACTTACCCAGTCACGCCCCTGCTCTCTTCTACTTGATCCACTTGGCTTTGTATAAATTATAATCGATGATGATTGTGTCCATTTTGTGGCCCAGTCGTGCACAAAAGTTGCAGCAGACTTCATTTCACCAGAAAACATCAAGGAGTGCATGCGACTAACAGAAGAGTTCAGGAAACTGCCAAATAACCACAAAAGCAGAGAAGACAAGCTTGAGGTACCTTACCCATCTTCTATGTCTCCTATCATAGGTATTGGTTCTTGGAAAAAAATGTTCCCTTTTTATTCTTTCTGAAGTATTATCCTGCCTTTTACTCCAATTTAACAGATAAAGAAAATGGTCCTGCATGCCATCAACCAAGCAGTTCAAGATTTGGAATGCTTGACATCTGTCGAGGAAATTTGAATATCACTCATAAAGCTGTGTGAATATTCTGTCCTCTACTCTATAAAGACAGGAGACTTTGTTTATGAATTTTTTCTCTGGAGATACTTGGATCTTACAATGATACTTGTAATTGAAAGTGTTTCTAATCGTAAGAAGATTATATTTCTTAGTTATTGGCATCTAACTTTGTATCTTTGCTGATTTACTGTCTACTTTTTTCACCTTGTATGACAAAGGCCATTTTCATTTTTTAAGTTTAGAGAACTTGAAAACAAGCATTTTTCTAATTTGTTATTTTTGAAAAACAAGTGAAATATTTAGGGATGGCAATTGTAACCGATCAATGGATACCCGCACCGAACCGCCCCAGTCAAAATAGAGAAAATCGCATTGACCGAATAACGGATACGAGGTTGGGAATACTCGTTTTGTTATTACGGTTAACATGGCGGTTATGGTTTTATACATGCCCGCCTCATTGCTCGCCCCGTACCCACCCCATACCCGCCCCATACCCGCCTTGTTTATTTTAGGCTATAGTTTTATTACATGTTATCTATTTTTTGTCTCAACTACTAAAAGATAAGATTTTTATATTTTCAATGTGTATATATGAATAATAGATGTACTAAGGGGGTGTTTGGAACTGATTCTGCTTCTGCTTTAAGTTTTCAGAAGTTGGTCACCCCCAGCTTCTAAAAAAACTGATCCTAGGAGTAAATTAGAGCATCAGAATCACTTCTGCACTTTCACCCAAACACTGCAACTTCTGCTTCTGCTCCCTGAAGGATCAGAATCAGTTTTAAGAATCAGATCCAAACACCCTCTAACTATAGTGTATAAGTGAAAGTTCATAATAGATCTTTATATTCTTGTTTGATCATTATCATATTTTTTCGTGATTAATTATTTTTCATATTAAGCATTTTTAGGTTCAAAGTTATTTTGTAGATATACTTTTCATTATTTGAAGAAATCATAAATTGTGTAACATGACATCTTGCAAATACTATTCCTTTAAATTGCAATATGTTACTCTCTTGGTCCCTTAAAACTTGATCAAATTTGACTGATACAAGATAAATAAAGTAAAAATTATTGATGAGATTTGTGTAAAGGAAAGGAAATTAACTAGAACAATAAATTTTTTACTTAAAAGGGAAAGTAATAAGAAGGTTAGACAAATTTATGAGACGGAACTCGGAAGGAGTATAGAATACGATAAAATCCCTATTGTTTTTTTTGTTATACAATCCCTATTGTCATGGCCATAGCTAGGGGGCAACCTAGTGCCCGGCCCACCCCAATTTTTAGTTTTGTTTAAATTATTAATGTAAAAAAGGTTGTGTAAAAATATTACCAAAAATATTCTTTGTACCAGTTCATTCTAATATACTCCATACTACATAGCTTCTGCCACTGCCTATTGTTAACATCGTAGGAACAAGGTTAGTATATTTATTAATTGCTAGGAGTCTGGGACTCATTTAAGGGACTACGTTTACAAAATTTAAAAAACAGAAATTATATTTTAATGTACAGATTACAGAATACATGAACCAAAGTGTAATTTCCCTACATAATGGAAAAAATAAATCTTTTTGTTGATCTGAAAAGATATTTGATCAATAATTAAGTTCGATACGTGGTGACACTGACACTATAGTATATACGTAGTATGATTTTTTTATAAAAATGCAGTACTGTCTCTAAACACTGCAAATACAATTTGTCCAAATTCATTTTTCTTTATACACATGCTCACGCATACACCAAAGATCAATCATAATTATAATTGCTTTTCCCAAGATAAATCAAATGATATTAAAGGATGCACAATTTTTTTATTCAGGATGACGCACATCAGGGAATGGACAGTTCATTGTACCAGAGTAATTCAATTTAATTGTAGGAATACCTTCGTGTTTTCTCATTATTGGCGATCCACATGTACAACTTAAATTAAATTATGAAAAAAATTTATGCCTATTTATCTTATGAGATTGACATTTTTTTTACCCGGAAGGCAAACCATCAAAATTAGTGGATAAATGGCGGGGAACATTTACCAGATTTTATTGAAATAGGAATCCTATGAGATGACATTTTCATTTTCACAATCTCTATTTAATATAATATAAATATATATATTATGAGTTTGAACAAAATATAAACGTGTGAAATTGATCCTTCCATATTTTCCCAATACTTTTCCTCCCTGTTTTGTTAATCCCTAACACTCTCCCTGCTCCAAACAAACCCTAAAGTGTAAAAATATGTGGCAAGCAAGAACTTAAAAGTGTCCTCCTGTTCTTTTGCCAATGTTGTAATTGTCCAAACATTTGTAAGATACATATTTACGCTATTTGTATTGCATATTGATGTTCAAAATGTTACATACTACCTCCATCCCTTCAAACTTTGACAAAGTTGACCGACACGGAGAATAATAAACTAAAAACTGTGTGGTAGAAGTTTGTGCAGAGGAGAGAGAAATAACAGAAACCACAAAATAAATGATTAAAAGGGAAAGTGGCAAAGTTTTTTGAGACCAAAATTTTAAGGGGCGGAGGGAGTATTAGAGCATCTTCAATGCTAAAACGTTAACGGTGTATACGTGGCATGAGAAATAACCAATTAAAAAACAATCGGTAGAATATCCCTCTCCTTATTTGAAGGATCTTACATAATTTTGGTAAGGTTTTCTTCACAATGTCAAACACAATGTCTAGATGTAGACATTGCGGTTGACATTGCAGACAAAAACTTACCAAAAATACATAAGATCATGGAAAGAAGGAGAGAGAAATGTCATAAAATTAATATTTTGTGTCTATATTTCTCATGCCACATGTGCACCGTGCATATTGTAGCATTGGAGATGCTCTTATTCTGCAATAGAATAAGCACTTGCATATTAACGTTCAAAGTGTTGCATCCTAAAAAAGTTTGATTTTATAACCAAAATGGCATCGCGCATATATAGCGTTTCAATCAACTAACCTGATCACCAAACCGAGTTTGTAGTTTGTAAATTAAGAGGTTTTTGTATTTGTTCTATTATATACTCCATCCGTAACATTTATATATTCTCATTTTCCTTTTACGGTCGTAACATTCATATCTTCCCATTTCTAAGAGCCCGTTTGATGAACCTTTTTTTTGCCTTATCAGCCAGCTTTTTCACCAACCATGTAATTTTTTATTTTGCGCCCTAAAGTTTGTAATAAGAAGAAAAAAGTAAGGTTGAAGTTACTTTTCAAGTTGTTCTGGCCGAAGATCATTTTAACTATTTTTCATATAATTTTTTATTTAATTTATTAATAACCAAAATTTTAAATATGATTTTTTAATGAATCAGCAGAATCAACCAATACAGTCACTTCAGCCCGAACTTTATAAATTTCTACAGAATTAACCGATTCAACCGATTCAACCAATTTTACTGTTATTAAACGGGCTCTAAATCTTTTAGAGTACCCTCAAAATTTTTGCAAATAATACATTATTACAACTACTTTTTTGGCTTTATCTTTCATTACAACATATTGTTTCATTTTTATCCCATCACTCTCAATAATTAATATTCTTTTTTACTATTCTTAATCTCACATACTTTTAAACGGGAAAATATATATGTTACCGTGGTAGTATATTACAATATATTGTTTTTAAATACAAGAAACATGTTAAATTTTACACTATTCAAATGATCTACATTGAATTCATTTTATTTTTAACAAAAGGGAATTTAATTTTTAAAAAGTATTGTTAAACTCCTCTAATTTTAGATTTTTAAAATCTCAATTTTTAAACTTTTACTAATAAGAATGAAATATACCAATAGGCAAAATTATATGTTGGAAAACATGTAAATGAAAATACTGCAACTAATTAAAATAGAACAAAGGAATAACTATATTGTTTGATTCTAATAATAAGAATAAAAATTTAATGAAGTAAAAAGGAAAGTCAACTAGTTATAAGAGACATAGATAGGAGCTTGTAAAGTTCATATTCATACACTTTTTTGCAGTAAAAAAAAAGAATTACTCCACAGTAGTCCTAATTTTTTTACATTAGCCTGAACAATTTTGACCAATAATGTAATAAATTGACTTTTAATCAAAAAAATTATTAATTGAAAAATGTTCATTCCGTCTTATTAAATTTTGTCAATTTTTAATTTTTGTTTATCGCAGAAACTCTTGCAAATTCCTTTTAAAATAATGATTGTGTGGTTCAACTATTTCCCTTTTTTATCGGGCGCACATTAACCTTACAATTTTACTTTTCTTATTTATTACCTTCATCCGACTAACAATGAGATATGAGAACGTGACATATTATTAAAAAAACAAGTTTATATAGTTCATATTGAATTGATAAAATAAAAATAAAATAAGAATGATTTAGAGCACACATAAAATTTACTAAATTTGAGATAGGACAATCTTAGTGAGACAAAACGAAAAGAAAAAGTAAAACAATGTAAGATGAAACAAAGTAGTATAAGAAACTTATTTTCCAAAATTAATTAATTTGGAAAAATAACAAAATACTTTTTATAATATTTTTTAAATACATCACAATTTTAAATTGAGTATAAAAATATTATTAAATTCAACATATTGTAACTAATTAAGAACATAAACAATATATTCTCTGAATTTATGTATTTAATATAGTTGAATGGTATATATGTTCCTGAATAGAAATTGCAATTTTCACAATTTCAATAGAATTGAATTACTTAAATTGCTCTCACACTGTTCGATTAACGCCTAGCGAGTTCAGAGCTTAAATGTAATTCAATTCCTTGAAGCTCAAACACAAGCTAATCTTTGATTAAGATTAGATTGTGTTCATTAGATTAGATTGTGTTTAATATGAAGTATATTTAGGAGAAGGATCAAACTACAAAGACACATGTATTAGCAGGACTTACTTGAATGAAGATCCACATAACTAGGCTTTTATTCATTAAAATCATTCTTCCCAAAAACAAGATCTAACCCCAAAAAACTTATCCATGGAGCTTTGCCTATCCCATCCTCGATGAGGATCTTTTTATACTAGTACAGGCGATCTAGGGTTAATGGAAGTTACCATATTGCCCCTAAGTGGCTTACCATGTTGCCCCTACGTCACTTACCATATTGCCCATACCTTC